GTAACTAGAGAACAGAAAATGTTTCAAACAGCCCCCGTGCTTGCTGTGCCTGCTGCTGGAGCCCATATTTGCAACCTTCTTGCAGCCCAGCCTTGCCCCACGCAGGGTCAGTCCAGTGGCTGGCAGGGCTCAGGTTTACAGAAAATATCTATATGTAGCATTTACCATGCAACTGTGGTAGCAACTGTGTGGCTACATGGTTGCGCAAAGGGGATACATGATAGGATACATGGCAAAATGTCAACAATGATCCTATTCGGGGTGTTGGTATCACAGAACCCTTCCTTCTCCAGCTCTTTTCCAGAGAGCAGTGCTCAGTAAAGCCCATTAGCAAGACATCAGAGCCACTTAAGCACAAATGTTTATGGTTTAGAACCACCTCAAGGTCAAAAATAAAGGTCATTTTAAACTTCATAAATGGCGGGGCGCCTGGGTGGCGCAGTCGGTTAAGCGTCCGACTTCAGCCAGGTCACGATCTCGCGGTCCGTGAGTTCGAGCCCCGCGTCAGGCTCTGGGCTGATGGCTCAGAGCCTGGAGCCTGTTTCCGATTCTGTGTCTCCCTCTCTCTCTGACCCTCCCCTGTTCATGCTGTCTCTCTCTGTCCCAAAAATAAACGTTAAACTTCATAAATGGCTGGAAGTAATGATTACAAAAGGACTCTCAGGAGCCACAAGGATTAAGTGCAGCACAGTCCAGCTCCAGGAAGCAGTACACAGCAGCTCTGGGGCCACCGTGCACAGCCCTGGAACCAGATCCCCTCATGCATGCACAGCCCCAGGCCATCCAGCCTGCTAAGAACTCCCCAGGCCTGTTTCTGCTGCTCCACGGATACCCAGCCTGTTCCTGCTCTTGTAATCCTGGCCCTCAGAAGTGCTGGCCAGCACACCAGGAGCTCCAGGCCAGGGGAGCTGCATACTTGCCACTGTCTCTCACTGCCAAGCCTTTGGGCTGTTTCAGCTGGGGGAGCTCGAGGTCAGGGGACACTGGCCAGGGTGGTGAGGAGGGACCCAGAAATGAGGCCACAGGAGCGGTGGATGGTGTGGGTCAAAGCTGGACAACTCCCAACACAGGAAAACTATTCAAGGGCTAACTGGAGGACCGGGTCTCCTCGAGTGCTGGTTAAAACATGGCTGGAACCATGCCTGGTCTGATTCACTTCTGTTTCCAGTGATGTTGCTGGTCTGGGACCTGTGGGGAAAGATTCCACAAGCAGCCAGAGGTCAACCTTAGGCCACCAGCCCTATTTCATCACTGGGCAGGGCACTTTACTAAGGCAGCATCCACTGGACTATACTGGACTAATCACAGCATGAACTTGGCAGGGAAAACCTGAATTGATAGCTTCTGATCTAGGCAGGTCCAAGTCAAAGTCCCAACCGGACAATTGAGAGGATGCTGGTCCCAGGCCATGTCGCTAGGTTTGTCTCCTTGCTGGCCTTGGCCAGCTCGTCAACCTTCTTCTGAAAAGACAAGGTTGTGACTCTAGAGTCCCCCTCCCAGCCCACCACCATTGAATCCAGATGCAAAGACAAATAGACAGGAAGCAGGATTTATTGGTGGGCATGAATGGGGAAGGGCAGTGCTGAGGTTCTCATGAGTGCAGAGCCCGCCATTTGTCCAAGGGGCCACGATTAGGGATGTATTTGACCCCACAGCCATCTGGGATGAG